ATCTACACTTGAAATCTGGAAACAGATGAGACGTCATTTCGGATGGCAAACTATGTCCCCTAAATCTCCTATTCACTCTAATCATGTCTTCAACCCTTCAATAATTGATAAGTCTTTTACATCTTGGCATGCTAAAGGCATTAGGGAAATTAATGACTTGTACCATGAGGGGGCTTTCATTTCAGCAGATGTGCGAGCAGTTTCATATTCCTAAGAATACTTTTTTCCACTACCTCCAAATTTGTGACTTTGTGCGCAAAATTTTCCTTCAGTTCCCTGCACGTTCCCCATTTGATCATTTATTGGAGGACCCTCCAAGATGGAAAGCCATCATATCGGCACTTTACTGTAAAATTTTGGCGCCATTCTATACATCCCTCTCCCAAATAAAAGTTTTGTGGGAAGATGACTTAGAAATGGTTATTTCTGATGAGGACTGGGAATCAGTCTTATATAGAATACACAAGTCTTCAGTCTTGTGCAAGACATGGACTTCTGCAGTGCAAAGTTGTACATAGTTTCAACTTTGTCCAGTGTGCACGATCTAAGCACTTTCAGCATATAGATCCTTCCTGTGATCGCTGTAGGTTTATCCCAGCCTCTCCTGCACATATGTTTTAGTCCTGTATAAAGCTTAGGGGGTTCTGGTACACTGTTTTTGAAATTGTCTCTGGTTTTTTAGGTAAATCGATCTCCCCTTGTCCATTGATAGCCATTTTTGGAATTACTCCTGTATCATATAATTTTACAAAGATACAGTCTGATTGTATAGCTTTTATCATGCTGTTAGCCAAACGACTAATATTGCTGAAGTGGAAGGATCAGAGGCCTCCAACTCCAACACAATGAATTTGTGATGTCCTTTTTTCCCCTTTCTTAAGTTGGAGAAAATCAAACATTCTATAAGAGGCTCATCTAACCAGTTTAATAAAGCTTGGGGCCCTTTCAAGCAATATGTCAGGGAACACGTTTCATTGTTGGACATAGACTGAATCTTAGTTCTAGCATTTTTTGTGTTTTTCTTCAACTATTGTATTATACTGATTGTTTTCCTAAGCTACACTTTTTTTTTTTTAAGTTATCATTATTATAATTTATCTATTGTATTATTAAGTTGATCTTGTCTTTTGTTCTGCTTTGTTTTCTTTTTCTTTGTAATATTGTCCTAAAACTCACAAAGTCAAAAAAAAAGAAAAGGGAATAATTAAAATGTTTCCATTTTTTTGTTAAATATTTTGTTAAAAGCTGTTTGTAGCCATGTTCTCAACTCTTTAAATCATGAGCAGCATGTATAGTTTCAAAGAAATGCAAAAAGGTGTGCATATCCAAAAAGACCCAAAAATTTAGTTCAAGTGCAGGACAAAAAAAGAAAATTAAATCAACCGAAACAATGTCCGCACACTGAAAATTATAGCTCCAAAAACTTCATTTGGAAAAAAAAAATGTTTTTGGATCTTTATATTCAGTGTGTGGACATTATAGCATGTATAGTTTCAAAGTAACTTCCTCAATACTATGCAAGTCACCTTGGTCTCTGAAGCGGTATCTTTCCTGCGGGGAGGTAATGGAGGGGGTTTAAGTAGCTCATCGCCCATCAAATGGTGTAAACTGCCACACGACACAGACTGAAACTCTGACAAATAGAGAAATCACATATTCTTACAGTCTGTCACAAAGAAAGAGAGATCTGCTTGAGGGAAATTAGGACTTCACACTTACTGGACTGAGGCAGCAAAACTGGGGCAAATATGGTGTTGTTACCTGCAGAAAAACAAACAAAAAGCCATTTAAGCATGTATAGGGAAAAAACTATGCACTATTTTACTAGCAGATCCTTAACCATTGAGTTACAGCCACTCCCCTCTCTCACCATAGGAGCTGCTCAGGTCAGGCTCAATGAACACAGAGTTGAGGTCAGAGCTGGCAGACTGTGGAGGTGTGGGTGTGTTTGGAGAGGTGGGGAGAGAAGGGGGAGTCTCAGGTTCTGTTTCTGCGATGCTCCTGAAGGTGATTTTGTGAGGTGGCTCTCGTTCTAATGGCACTGGGTGACCTTTCAGCGTCCCTCCTCCTCCTGATGCCTGCCGCACCGGCCGAACACCAGGAGACTTCAGATAATACATAGTCTTTCTGGGCTATAGGACACAACACACTCAGTTGTAAAACCAGCATACTGTTATAAACTTAAACCACCTCACATAACTCGTGAACACAGTGAAAACACAACATTATCGCTCTATTATATTCATGTCAAGAGATTAATCTCTTAAAGAATTCTTTCTCGTACCATCAATGTTCAGAAAGAAGCCATAGATCCATAATAAAGATGGGCTAAACTACATATTTTCAAAATTGATTAGTCAGAAGCTGTCTATATGACAAGCAGCAACATGAAATGTATACATAGAAAAATGGTTTAGAAAACATTTCACACAAAAATAATTTCCAATATAATGTCTAGTCGATTAGAGTGTTTTCTTTTTGTTTATATTATTACTACTATTCTTACTTATATTTTTAGCTTTAATTGTATAATTCCAAGCTAAATTGTATACATTTATGCCAAAAAGTCAAAAATAAATAAATTAATAAATAAACAACCTCACCAAATAAACATCGCTGCCAAACAAATAAATTGACGCCGTCAATAAATGTGAATGTAATAATTTGTATTCGTTTTAATTATTTAATAATTAAAAATAATAAGTTTAGACATTTTATATATATATAAACAGTGTTTTTAACAACAACAAAACTCACAAATCTGGGTGGCTGTTTGCAGTTCCGTGGTTCAATCTCTAGAGACTTGTTGAACAGGTAGTCAGAAAAGTCCTTCTCACTCATGTTTCCCATTGGATTCAGATTCTCAAAAAACCTCTACAAGACAAACAAACTCTTCTTAACATCATAAGAACTAGATGGAGGTAGAGGAAAAAAGTGAGAGTGAGTAATGAACATACAGACCTTTATATCGTGTTCTACTTTGAGGCAGTAGGGTTGGTTCTGGTACTGCTGGATTTCTCCAGTGATTTCTGCTACTTTGCGTCTTTTGCTAAAGTTGATCAGTTCTTTTCCATCACGTTTTAGAAAATCTGGATTTCCCTCTTCAGTCTTCAGAATGTTAGTCAGGTAGATGCCTGAATACACAAAGCAGACAGACAGGAAACATCACATACACACAAATACACACACGTGTACAATGCTGCTAAAAAGTTTGGGGTCAGTAAGATTTGAAAGAAAGAAATTAATACTTTTATTCAGCAAGGATAGATTAAACTGATCAACAGTTATGGTAAAGACATTCATAATGTTACAAAAGTGTTCTCTTTGAAATAAAGGCAGTTTTTCAGAACTTTCTTTTCATCCGAGAATTGGTTTCCACAAAAATATCAAGCAACACAACATTTTTTTGAAGACTGGAGTAATGACTGCTGAAAATTCAGCTTTGCCATGACAGGAATAAATAACATTTGAAAATACATAATTGAAAGTTATTTTGTAATAATTGTAATATTTCACACTATTACGGTTTGTTTTTACGGTTTTGACAAAATAAATGCAGCCTTAGTGAGCACAAAAGACTTCTTCCAATACATTAAAAAAACCTTACTACCCCAAACTTAGTGCATTTGTAAATACATGCTAGTTTGTTACAAAGCAGCTCTTTCTCTTACCAAAGAAAGGTACGCAAGGTGGGTTGATGGATTTGAGCTTGGCCAGGTATTTCTTAAAATGATCCTGACTGAGTTCAACTGCTTCCTCCAGAATCCTCCTCTTCCTCTCAGGCACGGCCTACATATACACAACATAACCACATATTCCATTATTATCTGTAAATTACTATTCTGATTCACACTATGAGTGCATAATGAACGAACAGGTCACCTCAAACGTGTGGTCGAGACGATACACCGGTACGGAGTTGATGGCGCTTACAATCTCCAAAACTCCATTAAAGTTATTGAGCTCTTGAAACACCTGCAGGATCTCAATAATACGAGAGAATACAGCAACCCTCTCGTCCACATTTTCAGCCTCTACTATACACCTGAGTGACAGAGAGAAACAAAGAATTCACTTACAGAATCGATAACATCAAGAATGAAGATGATGTTTTTCTTCAACATAAAATGTGTTGTACTATTTATGGAGATGATGCAGTTGGCTATGTGCTAGTTACTCACTTTTCAAACCACAGTGTGAGGTTGGTTGTGTGTCTAATCATCCTCAGCAGATTTGGAGAATTCTTCTCTTTATCTTCTTTTGTCCAAACGCTTCCTACCAGCTCAGATGGACGAACGGCTCTAAGCACACAAATGTACAATAATTAGTCAATGCACTGTCTTTCTTATACATTCTTATAGTTCTGATTTGCTCACCTGTACAGATCAGACTCTAGAAGTGTTAACTGACGAGCAATTTCTATTGGATGAAGGGTCATGAGGTCAAAGGTGTCAATGCTTCCGGGACGGCTGATGTGCCATTCAATAGGAGGAGGTGGGCTCTCAAAGGTGATGTTGTGACTGATCCCATTAGATTGAGTTTGTTTCTTCCGCCTCATGATCTTGATGATAGACTCCACCCACTTGCGCATCGATTTACCTTTAAAACAGAATATCAGTCTCTAAACTTGAGTGCGTCTCATTGAGTATGTGTGTATGTATGAGTATCAGCATTGTTAGTGTGTATGTACCTCTAAGTTGTGTGGTGCTGGTCAGGTATTCTTCGAGTCCACAGCTGAGTTCAGGATCATTCTCAAAGTCATAAAAGTGATGTTCTACCCACTGACGGAATACATTCAGAACCCTAATGACACACATACAGACATCAGACCGACGAGCTCACAGACACTATTAGTGTTGATGGACAGCAGGACTGTGTGTGGTGACATTGACTGAACCGAGCACAAGATGAAGATGACGGAGTCTTAAAAAAAAAAAAAAACTACAAAAAAATTACAATTATATATATAATAGTATAGTATAGTATATAATGATAATAAGAAATGTATCTTTAGCACCAAATCAACATTTAATGGCTACTGAAAATTAAGCTTTGCCATTATAGGAATAAATAGCATTTTTAAGATATATAATAGAAATCGAAAACAGTTATTTTAAATTGTTATATTATCATGAGTGTGTGTTTTACCGGAGTTGGACAGGCTGCACGTATTCTCTGCGAAATCTCTGAAGCTCGGCCGCCATTGGTTGCTCTCCATTCCAAAGTGCCTCTCTGTCTGCTTCTGATGGCTCTGGCTCTGGAATCTCAATCCTGAAGCATCATGGGGAAACAATTAAAACTAAATTGCATGCATATACTATACATCCTAACATGAAAGGGAAACACAAAAAGAAACAGCAGACGATGTTAACTTTACAAACCAATACGTGAAAAGGCAACAAACTCCCAGATGGACATGCCAACATTTTAGAGTGATGGTAGAGCTGTGAATAATTTAACAGAATTCCTCTCTTCTCATTAACTCAACATGTGTGAGGCACAAGTGTATGTGTGCTTTACCTTTCAATCAGTAGTGTGAGCAGGTCTTGTGGTTTACAGAAAGAACGGTACGTAGTCAGAAATGTACGCACGAAATTTGGGTCTGTGTGGAAAAGAAGAACAGTACTTATAATAAAAGGCACCCAAGGACACACACAAATGAACACACTGGTAGGCAAAATTTTGGAGACCTTTGACTGAATTTCTTTCTTAAAAACCTTTTGATCTAAAGGAGTGTTTTATTCTGTACCTGCATACATGTGGTATGTCAGTCTCTCAATAAGCTTGACTACTGTCCCGGCCTTAATAATAGGGATTCCAGTCTTGCGCTGCGCTCCCTCCTCAAATACAATGTTCTCCTCAGAATCCTGTATGGCAAACCGGTAGACATCCGGTGACGGCAGCCTCAGCGGTTGTGCTTGCTCCTCGTGGTGCAGGACTGTGTCCAGCATGCGGTCCAGAGTGGGCCGGTACTGCAGCGTGACCAGCGCGGCCATCCATGCACTCTTCTCTTCCGTTGAACGTGCGCTGAACACTGCACTGCTTTCCTCGCGGCCCACCAGCTCAAACGCGTGCCGAAACTCTGGTGAATCCTCACGATCTACAATGCGATACTTGCGTAAAACAAACTTCTCTTTCAGACGAAACTCCGCCCCACTGCCTGCGCCCGGCAACCTAGAGCTCTGGTTGGCTTTGCAGCTTATCATGAGGCCGTCGAACAGGAAGTTGTGCCGTTCGTGCTTGGCTCCGGCCCGTAGGAGCGCCCCCTCCATGATGAACTGGCTGCAGCACTGGCCGATATCTCTGCCCTCCCAGCCATCAATACTCCTCTGGATGTCATTCATACGCTTTATTGCTGCTTGCTTGCTGCGAGATGCACGACTATATAACCGATACAGCGGCTCCCTAAAAAAAGAAAGTCACAAAAAAGAAAGATGAAAATGGGATTTGGTACAGACACATGGTTGTGCAAGCCCTGGTGTTTGTGTTACCCTTGTTTGCGCCGTGGTTGGTGCTTAGCATATATGCGTTCAATGCTGCATTGTAGGTTGATCAGTGCAGTTTGAGCCTGTTTTAAACACTCTCTGTCATCTTGGTCTTTACTGCACTCCTGCAATTGCTACAGAGACAATGATACACAAACCTTAAATAACACATTACACAGCTGTAGGTTACTGACTGAGTGTGAAGTGTGTTTAGTACTCACCTGTAACAGTTCAAAGTAGTGCATGCAGTGGTAAACGGGAACCATCATCAACTGAGGAAGCACATACTGCACTGCCTCCTTAAAACCCTCTGCAATTGACTGAAACACACAGAAACACACCACAGGAGAGAACATCTGAGCTCATGCCTGCAGAGATGAAGGCTTTGATTCCAACGCCCGCCCTCTCCCTGTCCCCACAAGTCTCTTTTTACATTGGATTACTTGCCTTCAAAATGTGGTACATATGATTTCCAAGTTCGACTAATGAAAGAACAGGTGTTAATTAGCAAAACTCTAAAAGCAGCGTTTTAAATTTGTCACTTCTAAGAGGCACTGTACTGGATAAAAGTGAAGCAAACATGAAACCGATCCATACAACACTAACCTACATAAACAATATCTCTACAAAAATTATTCACAATACTCTACAATAATAAAGTAGTTTGAAACTAAAAAAATAAAAATAAAAAGACAATCCTCAGTGTCTGAAGATATTGTCTTTTTTTTTTTAAACAGGTTGAAATTTTTTAGGTATGCAGGTATATATCAATTATCAGTGTTGTTATTGGTAACAAAAACTAAAACAAATATCAGATGAAAAACTATTAAAACATAACTGAAAATCAGAAATGTTGCCATGGCAACTTACTGGAATAAAATAAGTTTTAGTACTAAAATTACTAAAACTAATTTAAATCAAAGCTATACAGAAATATATATATAAAAAAAGCACAAAACAATATTACTAAAACTTTAAACCTAAAAAAACCCATGAAAATATGACAGTAAAGCTAATTAAAATATTAATAAATACTGAAGCATATAAATAATACTAAAATGACACTACCTGTTATCAACCAGTATCATTTACTTTAATTTACTGGTATCTGTTAAAACTGGATATTTAATTGTGCATGTTTCTGTCCACATATTTTTTTCCCCATTTAGTTTATCATTGCCGTAACAATATGTTAGTAATTTAATAACACTGTTAAATGTAATCTTTAGCAAATCTCAAAATTAATATCCATTTTTCATACTGTGCATTATAATGTTGTGCCACATAAATTTAAAGTGAAGCATTAACTTTTTATTTTGAATTTATTTAGACAAAATGGTAGAATTTTAATATTGCCAATTTATTGGTTACGTGTCATAGAAAAAAGATAAACCAATCAGAGGCCAGTGTTGGTGCTGACCTGGAAGTACAGAGCAACCGTAGGGCGGGACATCAGTGTGTTGAAATGTTGACAGAATTCTTTAGAGAGGATGTCCTGAGAGAGTGTCTCATAGGGATCAAATGCCTGCTCCTGTACACAACAGATATACACACAAACGTTTCTAACAGCGCAGTAAGGTACATCATATGACGGTATTTCTCATTTTTGGACTCTCATGAGTGTTTATGAGTTTCTGTACCTCAGCGAGGTCTTCAAAACAGCTGCCCACAAGGGGGTGTGGACTACCGTCGGCTGTCATTTCTACAGCATCCTCAATAAGACCCAACAGCTTAACTGTTAACTCGTGAACCTCTAGAATATTACTGAATGCCAGCTCCACATCCTACACACATAGTGGAGAGAGAGAAAACCGAGAATAAATGATGATAAAGAGAATGCAAACAGCTTATCTCTGCCAGTATGAATATTTACATCAGTTCACATGTTCTGATTGGTCAGAAGAACGCACCTGAGTGGAGAAGTGTTTGCTACTGGACGTAAAGGCTTGGCGGAATACTTTGATGATAAGATCGAGCTCCCGCAGATACTGACGTTCCTCAGCGATCTCCAGACGCACAAGGTCATCATATGTGAGCACGCCAGAGGAAGACACCTCCTCTACACTCTGAGACAACGGCCCCATCTCCTCTTCCTGATCGAACATATCCATTAAAACCTGAAGGCACACACACAAAAGCAATACTGTTAATACATTAAAATAATCAATTTCAACTATTCACTATAATTTTTGTAGTTAATCTTTATTGGTCATGGTATTCAGACCTACTAATTCAGAAAAAAGCTTTTATGACTATTTCTTAATGTAATGGAGTAGAGTAGATTTGCATAAAATAATAATATTTGAAAATAACAGCAACAAGAACAAAAATAAAATAACAGATCCCTGTAGACCATAATGATGAGCATCACAAAACTTTAGATCACTTGTTTTTAAGATAATATTATGGTATCACAGTAACAAAAAAAAAAAAAAAAAAAAAAAAAAATGAATTAAGAAACATTACATTTGAATGAATATAAACAACATTTCTCAGAACTTAACGCATGTATTTTAAATTTGATTTTTTTGTAAATCTTTGCATCATCTTGAGCTAGATTTATCACTGACCCTAGGGCCAGCGACAACATATTTTGCAGGTTTCAGATATGATGAACTCAAATTAAATTTAGTGTAACAGAGACTTATAATGCAACCCTCTACATTGCGAGTAAATCACTCGCATATGTGACTAAATCTTCACTCTGGGCAGTGTTGGGGAAAGTTACTTTTAAAAGTAATGCATTACAATATTGCGTTACTGCATTAAAAAAGTAACTAATTACGTTACTTAGTTACTTTTTATGGAAAGTAATGCGTTACGTTACTTTTGCGTTACTTTTTAAATCTGGACAGGGCTTGCTTGTTTGTTTTTAAAATAAAAAAGTTATTATTTTTGGCAAATATAAAAGCCTTTTCACACCAAAAGTGAAATGAATAAGCCTCGGGCTGAAGGGAAAGTAAATTTACGTCCGTACAGTAGAATGCAGAAGACGACATTTCAACACACTTCAGCAATAAACAAAGACACACAAATGTTTGTCTAGAGTCATTTTTGCTTATTAGTACGGTTGAACTGGATCATCGAAGGTCAGAAGCAAAGACATTGGTTATTAGAATGGGATTAAATACATAAAGGATATTTGTGTTGTTTAACATTTAATTATTGCAGGTTTGCGTCATATTCTGAGTTGCATTATTTTTATTCATTTTGAGGAATACTGAATCTGTTTTTTTTTTATGTGAGTGAGATGAATTATTGCATATTCATATTTATTTTAGAACTACATTAACATCTTCTGATTTCTGTCACCATGGCGACACCAGAGCTGTCAGTCAATAAATTGGAAACAAAAGTAACTTGCGTTACTTATTTGTAAAAGTAACTCAGATATTCTCTTGTAAATTAAAAAGTAATGCGTTACTTTACTAGTTACTTGACAAAAGTAATCTGATTACGTAAGTCACGTTACTTGTAATGCTTTACCCCCAACACTGACTCTGGGTGACTAAATGATGTCTAATATTAGCCAATGGCTAATAAATTCTCAGATTTTACTCACCAGTACGCGAGTTGGGGGCTAAGTATAAGTTTAGCACAGATATATTTTCACTGGCCGAACACTGACTGAGCGCAGCGCTTCAGAGTCTCACTCCATCAAGCGATCTGTGCTATTTTTCAGTTCATCTCAACGGATGCGCAGCGCACCTGTATTTGACGTACTGTAAACTCTAGTGTAAAGGCGCACGACTCACCGTCACTTTGTCTCACAAACACGCAAATAGAGAGAGAGTCTTACATAACATGCAGAATTGATGTTGATAGATGTATACGATATTCTTTGCTGTATTTTCCTGTCTAAATAACAGAGTTCCTTTGGAATTCTTCAGCTTTAAAGAACTGCCGGGTTCTCTGGTAGTGGGCAGAACTAATGAGCAAACGACAATCTCATTGGCTGGCGCTCACCTATTATTGTCCCGGTTTTGATTTCAGCAAATCAGTTTGAGCAAAAGCACACAACCTGATTAATGAATTCATGAATCCAGCAGCTCATTAATCCTAGTGCATTTTTATATCGGTCTTATTAGTAGAATTCTAAGTATTACTATTATGATTATTATTTTGTTAGTATTCGTTTTTTCCCATTTTTTTTACTGAAATATTGAATAACCAAAAAAGCAGCACCACCAGTCCTAAGCTCAGTTAAAATTACTAACATGCATTCATACAAGGTTTTAATTCTAATTACTAAAGTTATATCATTAAATAATACTTGATTATCATATATAATGCTTGACTGACTGATGTTAAGAATGTACTTTCAGATATTTAAAAAGCTGTGCCATCATTTTACAAACATTATATATAATTTTTCAGTTTACTCGCCAGACTGATATACTATATATGCATGTGTGTGTGTTTATATATATTTAAACACATACATGCATATAGTATATCAGTCTGGCAAGTAAACTAAAATAAATATACATGGCGATGGCGATTCAATTGCCAAAGTGTCCATAGAGGGTTGTAATGACTTAATTGCCATTTCTTAATTAATTGTCCATCTTTTAATTTAATTTAATTTAGAATTTAATTAGGGATTAAAAATGTCTCCATGTTTCAGACACATTAAAAATAAACAGTTGCATTAATTGTCTTATGTCATCGCTAAATTTAATTTCTTCAGTAATTTCACTCGTAAAATCCTTTCAAGAAACAACAACTACTTATATAGACATGATGAATCAGTAACTTTTTAAAAACACACACCCACACATTTCTGACCTTGTCAGCACACATGGAGACAGTGATGTCTTGCTGGCTGATCTCGTAATGTCGAATGTTGCTCACGTAGTTTCCAGCCAGCTTGAGGATATCGGCTGAGATGTACTCCAGCACAGCAACAATATACAGACACACATGATAGTCGATCTTATAACCCAGCACCTCCTACACACACAAAACCAGCCATGTGTTACTCTGTGTGCTAGCTAGCAGTTTGTGAATGTTGAGTATGTGTTTGAGGTTTTCGCACCTTCAGTAGTGGATGTATCTTATCGACTGGCAGCAGCAGTGGGTTCCTTCGCTTGCGCTTCTCTATCGCAGCCTGAGCGTCTCCCATGGCCCATTTATCGATGGGATTCGGGAACGTCTTCTGGACACGATCCTGTGATTACACATCAAGATTTCAACACACTTCAGCAATAAACAAAGACACACAAATGTTTGTCTAGAGTCATTTTTGCTTATTAGTACGGTTGAACTGGATCATCGAAGGTCAGAAGCAAAGACATTGGTTATTAGAATGGGATTAAATACATAAAGGATATTTGTGTTGTTTAACATTTAATTATTGCAGGTTTGCGTCATATTCTGAGTTGCATTATTTTTATTCATTTTGAGGAATACTGAATCTGTTTTTTTTTTATGTGAGTGAGATGAATTATTGCATATTCATATTTATTTTAGAACTACATTAACATCTTCTGATTTCTGTCACCATGGCGACACCAGAGCTGTCAGTCAATAAATTGGAAACAAAAGTAACTTGCGTTACTTATTTGTAAAAGTAACTCAGATATTCTCTTGTAAATTAAAAAGTAATGCGTTACTTTACTAGTTACTTGACAAAAGTAATCTGATTACGTAAGTCACGTTACTTGTAATGCTTTACCCCTAACACTGACTCTGGGTGACTAAATGATGTCTAATATTAGCCAATGGCTAATAAATTCTCAGATTTTACTCACCAGTACGCGAGTTGGGGGCTAAGTATAAGTTTAGCACAGATATATTTTCACTGGCCGAACACTGACTGAGCGCAGCGCTTCAGAGTCTCACTCCATCAAGCGATCTGTGCTATTTTTCAGTTCATCTCAACGGATGCGCAGCGCACCTGTATTTGACGTACTGTAAACTCTAGTGTAAAGGCGCACGACTCACCGTCACTTTGTCTCACAAACACGCAAATAGAGAGAGAGTCTTACATAACATGCAGAATTGATGTTGATAGATGTATACGATATTCTTTGCTGTATTTTCCTGTCTAAATAACAGAGTTCCTTTGGAATTCTTCAGCTTTAAAGAACTGCCGGGTTCTCTGGTAGTGGGCAGAACTAATGAGCAAACGACAATCTCATTGGCTGGCGCTCACCTATTATTGTCCCGGTTTTGATTTCAGCAAATCAGTTTGAGCAAAAGCACACAACCTGATTAATGAATTCATGAATCCAGCAGCTCATTAATCCTAGTGCATTTTTATATCGGTCTTATTAGTAGAATTCTAAGTATTACTATTATGATTATTATTTTGTTAGTATTCGTTTTTTCCCATTTTTTTTACTGAAATATTGAATAACCAAAAAAGCAGCACCACCAGTCCTAAGCTCAGTTAAAATTACTAACATGCATTCATACAAGGTTTTAATTCTAATTACTAAAGTTATATCATTAAATAATACTTGATTATCATATATAATGCTTGACTGACTGATGTTAAGAATGTACTTTCAGATATTTAAAAAGCTGTGCCATCATTTTACAAACATTATATATAATTTTTCAGTTTACTCGCCAGACTGATATACTATATATGCATGTGTGTGTGTTTATATATATTTAAACACATACATGCATATAGTATATCAGTCTGGCAAGTAAACTAAAATAAATATACATGGCGATGGCGATTCAATTGCCAAAGTGTCCATAGAGGGTTGTAATGACTTAATTGCCATTTCTTAATTAATTGTCCATCTTTTAATTTAATTTAATTTAATTTAGAATTTAATTAGGGATTAAAAATGTCTCCATGTTTCAGACACATTAAAAATAAACAGTTGCATTAATTGTCTTATGTCATCGCTAAATTTAATTTCTTCAGTAATTTCACTCGTAAAATCCTTTCAAATTTAGAATTTAATTAGGGATTAAAAATGTCTCCATGTTTCAGACACATTAAAAATAAAGTTGCATTAATTGTCTTATGTCATCGCTAAATTTAATTTCTTCAGTAATTTCACTCGTAAAATCCTTTCAAGAAACAACAACTACTTATATAGACATGATGAATCAGTAACTTTTTAAAAACACACACCCACACATTTCTGACCTTGTCAGCACACATGGAGACAGTGATGTCTTGCTGGCTGATCTCGTAATGTCGAATGTTGCTCACGTAGTTTCCAGCCAGCTTGAGGATATCGGCTGAGATGTACTCCAGCACAGCAACAATATACAGACACACATGATAGTCGATCTTATAACCCAGCACCTCCTACACACACAAAACCAGCCATGTGTTACTCTGTGTGCTAGCTAGCAGTTTGTGAATGTTGAGTATGTGTTTGAGGTTTTCGCACCTTCAGTAGTGGATGTATCTTATCGACTGGCAGCAGCAGTGGGTTCCTTCGCTTGCGCTTCTCTATCGCAGCCTGAGCGTCTCCCATGGCCCATTTATCGATGGGATTCGGGAACGTCTTCTGGACACGATCCTGTGATTACACATCAAGTCAAAGGTGACAAAGCTGATCAGGCACACGTACTTCCTGATTGTATGCATGTATTTGTGTCTAACTGTCAGGTACTATTAAGGGTCACGGGGATCTCATAATTTTACTATGTTCATAAAAACATATGTTTCAAACGGCGCTGATAGCCTTGTGGGCAGCACGCCAACATACAGCGCTGTTGCGCTACAGGCGTCCTGAGTTCGAATCCCAGCTTGAGTATATTTCCTGATACCACCCCCCTCTCTCCCACTTCACTTCTTGTCAAGTCTAAACTGTCTTATCATCATAAAGTAAAAAAAATATATATATTAGGGATGCACCGATATGAAAATTTTGGCCGATACGATAACCGATTATTCTTTATTTTTGAAAGCCGATAACCGATATGTTGGCCGATAAATCTATATCCAAATTGTTATATACTTTTTGAGAGCCTGATTACAAAAAAGGTCTCATCATTAAATTAATGTTTCATAAAAATGATGACATGTCTGCATCAGTGCAAAAACAGCTTTAAATGATGTAATATTTAAGTTAAACACAAGAAACTGAAAATGAAATTGTGACCTGTCCTGACAAAATGAGTCACAATGAGCAAATTTTCAAAAATGAGTTATTCTTATTTTTACATTCTCCGTTAAAAGACCTTCAAAATGATGTATGATTAGTTGGAATCTGATTTTAGAGAAAAACTGATTTAAAGTTTTCTGAAAGTTCCAAAGCAAAATCACCTAGCAACCTCCACTTCTTTTCTTAATAATCACTACTAGATTAATAATCACAATATAGCTATTTTTAATTTATGTTTGTTGTTATAAATAAGAACAGATGCAAAAAAACAAACAAATATAAGACAGAAACAAGTGTATAGTCTATTACTTTTTTCATTTTACATCTAAACGTAAGTATTCAAGTAAGAAAAACAAAGTAAAATGTAAAAAACACTTGTGTGCTCATTACAAATAAAATTGATTATTAAAACTACAAAAGCAGTTCAATCAAGAGCAGAGAGTGATTCCCTCTTTTTTATTATTGTTTGATTAACATTAATGCAACAGACAGCCTATATTAAGACATAGTGTAATGCACAGATCTAATATAATGTTAGCCACCCGATATTTTTCCCCAAACGTTCACTTAAGATATAACAGATTATGTTTGCGTGAATACTTAAATATATTTAGCCTACTGAAAATCTGTGTATATGTGTATCGGGATCGCGTGCAGTCGGAAGCGCCTTTATGTGCACACTTCAGATAACAGTCAGCGTGAGAAGCGAGCGGAGAAAAGGTACTCCTCTCAGAAAATGTACAAATAAAGATACTTTTAGATGTTTAATTGCTATTTGGAGCATTGGGATTGCTAGACGAGGGCTTAATGAACTCATTTTTGTGAAAACCTCAAATTTGACATTTTTCACTTATTTTTTGCATGTAGCTCAAAATTAGCCTGTGCGCATTCCGACTAATTTTGCCAGCACAGGTCAGAATTAAAACTCGAAGATTTTGAATGGATGAGCCTCATTTGAAGACATACATCAGGCACCTCAATTGAAAATTATGCAAATTGCACGCTTTAGTCTTGATTGTTTAGGACACGTACCACTCAATATTTTTTACACTGCTTCAAGTATCTTTATCACTGCCACTGTAAATAAAGTAAAGCAGTCATCCCCACCAATAGCACCATCTGTATAGCACAATTGCTGCCAGTTGACACATTTCTCCTTATAGTACTCTATATAGTAAATAATAAC